AGAGATAGTGTTGGGCAAGCTAATGGAGCTAAGGATTGATAAGTCTCCTGGCCCTGATGGAATGCATCCCAGGGTACTAAAAGAGATGGCGGGAGAAAGAGCAGGTGCACTGGCGGTAATTTTACAAAATTCGCTGGACTCCGGGGAAGTCCCAGCAGATTGGAAAACAGCAAATGTGACACCACTGTTTAAAAAGGGAAGTAGACAAAAGATGGGGAATTATAGACCGGTTAGCTTAACCTCTGTAGTGGGGAAGGTGCTTGAGTCCATTATCAAGGAAGAAATAGCAAGGCATCTTGATAGAAATTGTCCCGTTGGACAGACGCAGCATGGGTTCATGAAGGGCAGGTCATGCTTGACAAATCTTTTGGAATTCTATGAAGACATTACGAGCAAGGTGGACAACGGGGACCCAGTGGATGTGGTGTACCTAGATTTCCAGAAGGCCTTCGACAACATGCCGCACAAGAGGCTACTGCATAAGATAAGGATGCATGGCGTTAAGGGTAAAGTATTAGCATGGATAGAGGATTGGTTGACTAACAGGAAGCAAAGAGTGGGGATAAATGAGTGCTATTCTAGCTGGCAGTCAGTGACTAGTGGTGTGCCTCAGGGATCGGTGTTGGGACCGCAACTATTTACAATTTATATAGATGATTTGGAGTTGGGGACCACATGTAGGGTGTCAAAGTTTGCAGATGACACTAAGATGAGTGGCAGAGCAAAGTGTGCAGGGGACTGTGAAACTTTGCAGAGGAACATAGATACATTGAGTGAGTGGGCAAAGGTCTGGCAGATGGAATACAATGTAAATAAATGTGAAGTCATACATTTTGGTAGGAGTAATAGTAAAAATAAGGATTATTACTTGAACGGTAAAAAGTTGCAGCATGCTGCTATGGAGAGGGACCTGGGTGTCCTTGTGCATGAATCACAGAAGGTAGGTCTGCAGGTACAAGTAATTAGGAAGGCAAATGGAATTTTGTCCTTCATTGCTAAAGGGATTGAAATAAAAAGCAGAGAGGTTATGTTGCAGCTGTACAAGGTTCTGGTGAGGCCACACCTGAAGTACTGTGTACAGTTTTGGTCTCCTTACTTGAGAAAGGATGTACTGGCACTGGAGGGGGTGCAGAGGAGGTTCACTAGGTTGATTCTGGAGTTGAGGTGGTTGGCTTATGAGGAGAGACTGAGTAGATTGGGATTATATTCATTGGAATTCAGAAGATTGAGGGGGGATCTTATAGAAACATATAAAATTATGAAGGGAATAGGTAAGATAGAAGTAGAGAGGATGTTTCCACTGGCAGGTGAAGCAAGGACAAGAGGGCATAGCCTCAAGATTAGAGGGAGCAGATTTAGGACGGAATTGAGAAGGAACTTCTTCACCCAGTGGGTTGTTATTCTATGGAATTCCTTGCCCAGTGAAGTAGTTGACGCTACTTCAGTAAACATTTTTAAAGATAAGGCAGTTTTTTTTGAACAATAAAGGAATTAAACGATACGGTGAGAATGTGGGTAAGTGGATCTGAGTCCACGAAAAGATCAGCCATGATCTTATTGAATGGCAGAGCAGGCTCGAAGGGCCGGACGGCCTACTCCTGCTCCTAGTTCTTATGTTCAAAATACCATGTGTCAGTATGCCATTTCAGTAAAGCTGATCCAGGGCCAGTACTGAGAACTCAATAACCTCAAGAATGGTAACCAGAATCATCAGACAGCATACTTTCTTCCACAGCAAAAAATGGAATCACAAGGTTGACAAGACTCAAAAGAGACAAACATGAATGTTATCAGGTCATTTAGGAAAACAGGAAGAGGAGCACATCATTCAGTCGGTTGAACTTATCCTACCATTCAGAGTGATTATAGCTGATCGCATACGTCAATGCCTTCACCCACCCACTCATCCTCTTAGCCCTTAAACCACTGGTAATCTATAAATCTACACCTTAAACATACACAAAGTCAGAGCTTCTCTAGACCACTGTGGTAGAAAATTTCAAAGGTTCACAACCCTCCAAGGGAAAACATGTTTGCTTCATCTCAGATTATGTGGTATTAACTTATTTTGAAAATGGGGTCTCCTGGTTGTAGACTCCCTGTCCGGGGAAACATCTGACCTGCAACTACCCTTCAAGCATTTTCTAAGTTTTAACAAGATCACTTCTCACTCTTTGAAATTCGTGAAAATGCTAGTCCAGTTTGCCTAATCTCTTTTCACAGGGCAGTCCCACCATTCCTGGAAGAAATCTGGTGAACTTTTGTTGCACTCCCTGTATGGCAATAATCTTTCCTGAGATAAGTACAAACCTTACACAGTACTCCAGGTGCAGACTAACCAAGTTCATCTGCAATTAAAACTTCACTATTGCAGTACTCAAATCCTCTTGCAACAAAGACTAACATTTCATTAGCCTTCCCAAAAGCTTGCTGTATCTGCATGCTATTCTTCAGTGACGTATCTACAACATCCCCCAACTCGCTTTGTGCACCTACATTTTCCAACACTTTATCATTTAAGAAATACTGTGCACATCTGCTTGTCCAAACAATGTGGATCTTTCCATGTTTTATTCCATCTGTCATGATCTAACCCATTCATTAGCTGTCCAAATCGTCCTAAAGCCATTTTACAGCTTCCTCGTAATGTGCATTTCCAATTAGCTTTACATCTTCCACAAACTTGTAAATATTAAATTTGGTCCCAACTCTAAAATTGTTGACATATCTAGTGAACTGCTCGGGCTCAAGGACTGATCCTTGCAATTCCCGACTAGTCATAGTCTGCTAAAATAAAAATTGACTTATTTAACTCCAACCTTTGTCTTTTGTCTGTTAGCCAATTGTTAATCCATGCCAGTACATTGCCTCCTATCCCATGTGCTTTAAATTTCATATCCAGCTTCCTCTGCGGGACTTTATCAAAAGCCATCTGAAAATCTACGTATATTACACCATTGGCCTCCTTTACCAATTTCGTCAGCAACATCTTCAAAAACCTCCATTAACTTCATCAAACACAATTTCCCATTCACAAACCTATGCTGACTGTGCCAATCAGTTCATTATCAGCTAGCTATCTGTTTATCCCATCTTCTACATTAGATTGTAGCATTTTCCCTAACACTGATGTAAGGGTAACAGGTCTGCAGTTCCGTGTTTTCTCTGTTACACCCTTCTTAAACAGTGGGTAAACATTTGCTACCTTCTGACTCGCAGGAATAGTTTCAGAATCAATAGAATTTTGGAAGGCAATCACCACTGCATCAACTACCTCTATAAATACCTCCTTCAACCCTCTGGGATATAGACCACCAGGTCCCTGGGCATTTATCAACTTTGAGCCCCATTAAATTCTCCAGTATAAAAATTTCTTACTGAAATTAATTTTCTTCAACCCCTCATTCCCCTAGCCACTGGGACCTCTCATTCTGGGAAATTTCTAGTATCTCCCTCAGTGAAAACAGACAAACTTATCATTTAGCTTCTCTGCCATTTCCCTATTCCTCATTATACATTCTCCTGACTCTGGTTGTAATGTACTGATATTTGTTTTACCCAAACCATTCCTTTTTACATACCTATAGAAACTTTTGCAGTCCTTTATTATGTTTTTCCTGCTAGATTGTATTCATATTCTATTCTCCCTTTCCTTATCAGTTTCTTGGTCTTCCTTTGTTGCATTCTATAAACCTCCCAATCCTCAATTTAATGATCATTTTGGCACAAAAAGTAGTCTATCTGGACTTGGTTTCCAGTTCACCTTCATAAACCTAGAGATGAGAAGATATTCTCACAAATCTGATGTAACAGGATCAGAAAAGCATACATGGAAAAGTAGGGCTGGGTTTTTGCCAGAGATTTTATATATTTGAGAATTAACTGTATACAACGACAGAGATAACCAGACTCTACTGTATAGGTAGATGCCTGACTGGTAGATAAGTTTATTGGAAGCCAATAGGATGTCCATTAGCAATAGTATCTGCAATGTAAATAATACTCTTCCACAACCAGACATTCAAAAAGAAACCAATGATGTCTTGCTTGTGGTTATTAAACTTAAACTGTGTCAATCCAACACCTGGATTTGCAGTAGTGCCTTTCAGCAAACACATATATTCTGAATAAGGGTTCCGACCCGAAATGTCAACTTTTCTGCTTCTCTGATGCTGCCTGGCCTGATGTGTTCCTCCAGGTCTGTACTGTGTTATCTCTGACTCCAGCATCTGCAGTTCTTGCTACCGCATATTCTGACTGTTGTCCCATCTACCCATCATAAGCAATACTAAAGTAAAGCTGATGGAAGAGCAAGATCAGCAGGGGTACTGGTGCCTTAATAAGATCTGATAACAACAGGTACATATGTTCCAGTATTAATGCCTTTTTCAAGCCTTTTTGTTTTCATTTTAATTTTTAAGACTGAATATTCCTTAACGATGGAAAGACTTTCAATTCTGCCACCCATCACTTCATTTCTCAAGTTTTCCAAACTTGAGAAAAGCCAGAATCTGAAAATATTAAAAGTCCCCATCACATCCTTCAAACAGCTGCACTTCTTTGTGTTCCCTTTAGTGTTCTGGAATATAACCTGGGAATGTAAACAAGATAAATTCAAGAACACCAAAAGCAGGCACACACAGTCATTTCAACCTAATCTAGTTCTGTACAATACAAAACTTGTGACAAGGAAATATGAAAAATGTTAATTGAGTTTACATTAATTCCAGCCTAACATTTTTAGTCAACAAAATATAAAACTGCACAAGGTGAGAGAAATTCCTGGGCAACACCTTGCTCATAAATTTTTCAGTGAACCCCAACCTCAAAGATCTAAGTTTATTTACTTTTCAATGTTATTTTACATCTCAAATCTGAAAGAAAGAAATGCTACAGGAGATCAACAAACTTCACGGAGACTAAACGCAGCATTTTTTCAATATCAAAGGAATGTAACTCACACCAAAAACATTCAGAGCTTGAGCAAATTACATACTCACTTTTTTGCTAGTATTTCTGCAGTAATATTTACATTTGATTCAGAGTCACTCATTGCTGATTCATCATCATCACCTTCTATCATCCTGTGCAAAGGAAATAAAAAAAGAGATTTTGTTCCCACTTGCAACTACATTATTAACAATTTGAAAGTTAGATTTACTTAAAAATTCTTATTTTAACATTTCATTCTGTTAATAAACATCTTTTTTGTAACCTAGTCAAAGTTGAAGCATTATACAACAGTTCTACTGTGACCTTCAATCCCTCCATTGTTCAACTTGGGATTCAGAATTGAAGTATGTATGTAACACAGTGCACCTTCACTTTTTAATGAATGATTTACACAAATTTAGTTTAACTGAAACCTAAAAGCAGAATGATTTAGCGGCAAATGAACACTATTCATGAATTTCTGGACTTTCTGATTACTTCCTGTATATCTGGATGTATCATTTGGACACAGTTTTTTGCATGCTACAGAAAGAAATTATATTTTGCTACTACAAGAAAAAGCATCAAGAATAATCCCAGTAAAATCAAAGATTTTGTGCAGTTAAGGAATATGCATATCTTGCAAATGCACACCACTAAGTTCTTAAACTCTCAGTAGATCGATTTGCTTTTTTCACCATAATAATATGAGTAGTTACTTTTATATGGGGGTTGAATCATAATGCTTAATATGTAAAGATCAGAGTTTCAAATAGATTCTAATGGAAAGGCTTCTAATGGGACAATTAAAAGAAAACTCGTGCAAACAAGACTTTTCTCAGTATCATTTAATACTGGAGAAAAACAATTTTTTAGGTTTACAGAATATTTTTAAACTGCCCAGAAATTCATGTTTGTTCAAATTAAAACGTAGTGTATTTGCAAATGATGTGTACGGTGGCAGTGTTCTTTAATTCTTATTCAATATTGCGGGAGTATTTTAGCCAATTTGTGCACTACTATTCAGTTATACATGCATACTAACATACTTTGAACATGTACGTGTAAGAGACTATTTACTTGGAAGCCATACAAGAGAACTGTTCATTACAGATTTGAAAAAAGGAAATCTTACTTCCACTTATACTGTTCTATGGAAGTTCAGCTAGAGGCCATGACAATACCTGTTTATTGGTTAAATGTTTTATTCACCCACTGAAGCTTTTGAAAAATACTCACATTCCCTTATTCTGAATTATTCTCAATATAAACATACTGAAGGAGAAATTATCCCTCATGGGACATTCTTCATAAAGTGAACCAGCCAATCAAAACATTATCCTTTAAAGTACAAATTTATTACCATTTTTGGTCCAAATACAGAAGTACCATAGGTCAATCAGCTCTTTTCATGATTCAATAAAATTGCCATTGTGATAAAGTGATTTTAAAAATTGTTGCTTTTTCTGTTTGTTTTGAAAACCGTGATACTTACAGAAATGTAATAAATCATGTTCAACAAGAACTTTAAAAATCCAAAATAAAAGAATGTTACAGCACCAAAGTTTAAATCAGCACTTGCTTTTCCAATAAAAAAAAACTCCTCTAACAGCTTTGGGAGTTGATTAGGTGAATAAATGAATCACATTAATTTGTGCTCAAATGGCCGAGTGCACACAGAGGAATCCAACCAGCCTAGAACAGCTCAAGATAAAAGTCAACAGTATCGATCAGTGAACCCCTGTAGAAGTGTCAAGTAAGGAACGATCAGATCGGACTGTGTGTCTCATTGACAGCTGTTGTCCTCTCCAATTAAGTTACTTTTGATAATTATAGAAATTTAGAAGTTTCAATTTTAACTTGAATCAATTATTTATAAAGGTAGTTAATCCCAAAAGTAAAATCTACATAACACAATAGTTCCAGGTTAAATTCCCTGTTCTACTTAGAAATATAAAAGAACATATAGGCTTCAAGATTTTGTCCATTGTCTTATTGTCAAACATGTAAGCATAAACATAAATTATAATGATTTGCTACATTCAGTATTCCAACACTTCATAGTACAGGAAAGCAATTTAAAACATGCTTTTTTACAATTTTCCTGAACATTTCAGTCACTTGGTTGAGTTTGCAGATGTTTTGCAACTTAAGATAAATAATGTGCTTATTTACCTGTTGTATGGCGTACTAGGTTCATCGATTTTCATTAGTCCATAGTCTTTCCCTTCTGGATGGTAAGTGGCAAGAATGTTCATTTCATCCCATTTTTGAGACTTTTTACTGCAAAGCATGTATGTTCAAATGTCATTAAAATCCACCGGGTTCACTGCTATACACTTCAAATCCTAGGTCTGGAAAAATTACTACTGATGAAAGCTCCTTTTCATATTCTAATGTTATTTAACAACTTTTTACAACACTCCTATTTTGACATTGAATGAAATGTGTCTTCTCAAAAGCCCATTCATCCTCAAAAACCTACACCATTTTCAAATGTAACATGGTTTTCAAATAAATTCTTTTTCAATTAAGATCAGCTGAAGTTATATAATGCCATTGAGGCCTTAAATGGTCAACAAGACTTCAAATAACAGCATAGATAATTTTTTTTTTTACACAGTAAACAGAAATCTTCAACAGATTTCACCTAAATATTATGGTGCTGAACCTCAATTTATATCAAACGATAAGAAAATGTATGGAGCAGTCTATCATCATTTTATATAACAAGTGATTCCAGATCACTGTATGTAACCGCAATCAGCTAATGTAAAATTAACTTTTAAAATGTTCCAGAAGCCTGAAATGGTATAAAAAAAGTACCACTGATTCTATCCAAGCCAACTATTCCAATACATGGAGTGTAAAAGTGCCAACACAACTGGCATAACCCATCTTCTAAGCCTCAGTGTAGGGCAGTCATCTGAACAGCTCAATACCCATCATTAATTTGGCATTTTTGGGGTGTATGGGTGTGGGATAGTGGGTCTGGGGAGGTAATGAGGAATTTTTAAAAAAAATAACATTATTGATTTTCAGCTGTGGGTCTTCTGCTCTGACAGCTACTTATAGCATGACACTGAAAGATAAGAACAAAAATTACCATTTGCCTTTCATTATCTGAGAGCATTTGAAAGCATTTCAGTCAGCAAGTTACACATTGTGGTTGCAAAAAGCGACTGCATTGTGAACAAGTGTTCTTTGCTTCCTTACACATGAACACAATCCAGCAAAGGTCATGTTACTCTGGTCAGCACTGACATCATCTTACATTACATGTACTAACTATATTAAAAACTGAGGTCGCTCTGATGGTTTCATATGTCACATCAGTCCAGTCTTGACAGTAATGAGGTAAACAACAGAAAAATAATGTTTGTACACTTGGTATCTCATAATTCCACCCTTTTGAAGTGGCTTAGAAGAATCTGCGACTCATCACAGGTTATAAAAGTGCTATAATTATAGGATTACATATTTCAAGAAATGTCAGACTTTTTCTTCTTTGGCTGCTTTCATTTGGCCTGCAGCTCCAACAAATGGCCAACAGGAGAGCATGTGTTCTTGTCAAGCTGTTGGATCCAGGCAAGAAGATTGAGTGGCAGCAGTTGAGGTTTGGCATGAGCTGTGATACTATATAGTTCACATACAGTGACGTGAACAGTTTGAACCAGAGATCAGCTAAAAGCATGCAAGTTCAAAATCAAGTGCAGCAAGGCGAAAGTCAGAAAATCATTTCCAAGGTGAAATTAAATACTTGAAAAATTAGAAATCCAGTAACCAGCAGAAATTTGTAATCCCCCAATATGTGTCAGTCACTCTCCAATACAGTACACACTCTGAACACAGCAAGGTGCAACAAATAGCAATCAGAGAAGTGACCAGAATGTTGGTTGAGAGTTAAGTGTTGGCCAGAGTTCCCCTGATTTTTGAAAAGTGTAATGGGGTATTTCACATTCACCCGAGACAGCTGAGCTGTTTATGACTAAGGAGTGATACAAAATATATTAACAACAATGCTCAATACTGCACTGAAATGCCAACCTATCTGAAAGCCTCTGGATGAGAAAGCCAAGACTTTTTGATTGAGGCAAGCATGCAACCAATTGATATTGCATCTCGGGCCGCACTGTATCATCATAATCTCAGAGCAGTCAGTTGAGGGTGCAAATGAGAAGGCTCTCTGCCAGGGTCTTATTTAAGGCAAAGTAACGTTATTTAAACATAAATCAGTTAAATAATAAAGTATAACAATGATGTGTATACCCCCTGCATTATGTTTCTTTTACTTAATGTGTGTTTTTACATTGATGATGTGGACCTCTTGATCAACCGGAATATTTGATATCCTGGTCCCATAGGTGCAAGTTAATAAAAAGTATGCTGTACTAACATACAGGCCAAACAAAAATAAATCACAGTTAGGTACCAGAAACCAACATACATGCATGACAAAATAGGGTATTGTGGCACAATGGCAGCAACCCTACCTCTGAGCCAGGTAACGGGTGTGAATAGACTGATCAAAAATAACTCTGTACATAATAAAAACAGGCCAGAAGCGAACAGCGATGATAATAAATTTTCTGCTTTAAAATTTTGCACAGGTGCCACATTCTTAAAATTATTTTAGGTTTCTCTAGAGAATCATTGGAAGCACCTGAAGTACATGCTACGCTACAGGGCAAAGTGACTAACAATGAAAGTGATGAGCAGCAGCTGCCTGCACAACAATAAAACAGACTGCTGGATAACGAAGAAAACAACGAGTGAGTCAAAGATGTGCACCACTGCACTGTTCAAAAAGTCTTAGAAAATGACACAAAGTGCAGGCAAGGTCAAAACTGAGGTAATGGTATACAGGAAGAAAGTGGTCAGTCAGTAATCAGCACATCATCTGCCTGCTAAAAATTCCTGCATTCAAGTAATGGCTAGATCTAATGGGCAGCTTATCAGTAACCTTATTCCTTTGGTGAGCAGCCCAGGAATAGTATTACAAATGAAGCTGCATTTTTTTCAGGAACTCGAACCTCCGATTGGTAGCATCAATCAGCGCTGTTAACCCCCTATCCTTTCCTTCCCTCCCCCCCCTCCCATGATGCACTTTCTCCCTTACTCCCATTTACTCAGTCTGCCCTCACGTCCTCCATTCCCCTGGTCACTCATTTCTACACCCTCCCAAATCCCCCTTCTCCTGACACCCCACTCTCTCCCAACTCCCTCCAGATTCAGAAAATTCCCTGCCTCTCCCGTCTGCCTCCAGATACCCTCCCTGCCCCTCCTCTAATTCAATCTCTCCATTCCCCCATCCTTCCTACCCCTCCCCAATTCTGATCGCTCTCCTAATCACTCCTTCCCCTCCCCTCCTGCCGTTTGATCCCTCCATTCCAGCAGCTCACTTGTATTCCTCCTCCTCTTCAGTACACAGATCCAGCGCCGAGTTTTGCTGAGATGGGACCGAGTTTCTGTTTTTTAAAATCCCTTTGATGGGTGCGGGAGCCGCCATGGCAGAACGGTGTTGCGTGTCCTGAGAAAGCTGGCTGTGGGTTCCGGACAGGAGAAGCTGTTCTGAGCTAGTTCCCTCCTCTAGCACAACAACAACTTCGAGCAGCGCCGCTCCTCATTCTCCGATGGCACTAACTCTCGCGAGAGCGCGGCTAGCTGCCCCGCCCGGTGACCACGCAAGTTCTCGCGAGAACAAGGAGAAAGGGGATGACCTGCATTGTGAGGCACCGGAACTGGGGACAGGCGCGTGGCTGCGGCTGATCAGGTGAGAGGTCCGGCAGACCATTGCTGGCTGCTACCGTCGTGACAACCTGCTACCGTAATCACCCCGCCGGTATAATAGTGTCACACACGACTTCTCGCACCCCTCACCTTCACAAGTCATGTCGAATAAAAACAAAATACTTTCGGATCTTGGCAATCTAAAGCCAAAAGAAGATGAAAAAGTGTCTCACACCGGATTCCAAAAGTGAAATCTGTCCGCAGATGCTGTCAGGCGTGCGGAGTTTCTCTCTGCTGACTTGTTCTACTAAACAATATCTGCCTCAATCTGCTCCACAAGCTGTCTTGGTTACTGCAATAACGAAGTGTAGAGCTGGATGAACACAGCAGGCCAAGCAGCATCAGAGGAGCAGGGAAGCTGACGTTTCGGGTCTGGACCCTTCTTCAGAAGAGATTTTTTTAAAAATCACTGTCAAAGTACCAAACCTTCGTCTTGGATGATAGATACCTCCATGGCCTTAAATACACGTTTGGATGAAGATGAGATGTGAAAATTGGATGAATATAAAGAAATGTGGCTTAACCACCTTGAGTTGTCAACTTGAAATCTGTCTACCTCAGCAAGATCATCTTGAATAGGAAAAACAACGAATTTTTTTTTAAAAACACAAACTGCTTACTTGGGCTCTTTACTCACGATAGGCAAATTTCAGTAAACTGGACATTTATATTTATTCCTCTCACTTTCCTTCTTCATTCTGGCATCCCTTGGTCTCATGTGCCATCTGCTGTCACCCCAAACCAGATATCAAAATCTACTTCATCACCTTTTAAAGTGACAACCATAAGATTGCATGTTCAAGTCCTACTGTAGAGCTTGAGGACAACTATCTAGACTGACACTCCAGTGCAACTCTGAATGAATGTTGCACCATTAACAGCATGGTGACTTAGTGGTTAGCACTGCTGCCTCACAGCATCAAGGATTTCGGTTTGATTCCACCCTCAGGTGACTACGTGGAATTTGCACATTCTCCATGTGTCAATGTGGGTTTCCTCCCACAGTCCAAAGATACACGGATTAGGTGGATTGGCCACGGTAAGTTGTTCTGTAGTGTATAGGTATGTGCAGGATAGGTGGATTATCCTTGGGAAATGCGGAAGTAGGGTAAGGGGTTGGGGTTGGGTTTGAGTTTTGGGTTGGGTGCTCTTTGGAGGGTTGGTGTGAACTCAATGGACCAAATGGCCTGCTTCCACACTATAGTGATTCTGTGATTAGAGGTGACATCTTCTTTATGAGATATTAAACCAAGGCCCTGTAAAACATTTATTTCACTACTTCAAGGAAAAGAAAGACTTATCTCAACTGCCCTGAAAAATAGTTATCCCTGAGTCACCATCAGAAAAAGCAGATTATTTGGTCATTATTTAATTGCTGTTTATTGGACCTCACTGCACAAATTGAAAGCCACATATCCTGTATTACGAGTGATCATCTTTCAAAAGTGCTTAATGGCTGCAAAGCCTTTTAGGAAATTCAGTGTTCATGAAAGGTGCTACATAAATACAGGTGTTCTTTTTGCTCCTTGCCAAGTCATTTAATAATCTCATCTCTCCTTCATTTCTTACCATGTGTCTCCAAACATCCTTTGTTGCTTCAATACCAGCCTGTTGCTCCTTTACACTTGCTGATAGCGACCATGTGAAACTGAAGCAGACCTTTGGGGTGTTAGCTTCCTACTTGACAATAAGCTGAACTTTGAATCCTTTAGTCTCCCCACTGAATGGCAGCTGGCTTCTGCCACTGTAACAGCATTTCATTCTACCCCTGCCTCGAATCATCTCCTGCTGAAACCGTAATCCATACTTATGTTCCATCAGGAATTGTTCCAACCCTGTCTTGGCTAGCGCCTCATGTTGCATCCTCCATAAACTTGAGTTCATTTAGAACTCTGCTGCCTGTATTCTAAATGATGTCAAATTCAGTTCATACAATGGCTTAATTTAAAATTCAGCTCATTCCAGGAAATTGCCTCAACAGCACCTCCAATCCTACAATGCTCAGAAATCTCTATGTTCCTCTGTTTCTGGTGCATCCCCAAATGTCTTCACTATTATTGGCAACAATGCCTTCAGGTATCCATGCCACAAGCTCTAGAATTTCTTCCTAGACTGCTCTACCTCTCTTGCTATTCTACTTTATAATATTCCTCAACAACCCCCTCTTTGGCAAAGCTTTTGGTCACTTGTCATTATTTTTATTAATGTCATTCAATGTCAAATGCTACTTGATAGTTACTTATGTGAAAACTTTTGGGATCTTTAATACATTAAAAGCATTTTATAAATGTAAGCTGTTTTCTGGCTGTTCCTTCCACCATGTGGTCTCACAATCTAAAACATCTCCCTTAGCATTTCTGCCTTGTTATCTTGCTCCCTGCTTACATAAGCCCCTTGTATATAAACATGGGATTTCATTATTTTTCCTTTATTCATGTGGGCATCACTGATCAGGGCAGTATTGTTCAGAAAGGAGTCGTCATTGGGAAGGTGGTGGTGAGACCTCTTTAATACAATTAGTGGCTTGGTAGGACATTTCAGAGAACAGTTAAAAGTCAGCCACAGTGCTGTGGTTGGAGTCACAGTCTTGAATCACCTGAAAGATATTTGTGAATCAAATGGATTTTATGACAGTCCAATTATTTTATTGTCATTAGTACTGATATTAAATAAATCTAAAATAAAAAATTGATTCTGCATGCATTTGGAAAGGTAAGGACTGTTTAGGGATAGTCAGCATGGATTTGTGTGTGGGAAATCATGTCTCACAAATTTGGTTGAGTTTTGAAGAGGTCACCGAGAAGATAGATGAGTGCACTGCCTAAGATGTTGTCTGCATGGACTTTATAACAAAGCCGTCAACAAGGTGCCTCATGGTAGTAAGGTTAGATCACATGGGATCCAGGAAGAACTAGCCAACTGGATACAAAATTGGCTTGGCAATAGGAGACAGAGGGTGGTAATGAAGGGTTGTTTTTCAGACTGGAGGCCTATGACCAATCTATGCAATGATCAGTGCTAGGTCCACTGTTGATTGTCATTTATATAAACAATTTGGATGAGAATATAGGAGACATGGTTAGGAAGTTTGCAGATGTCACCAAATTGGTAGTACAGTAGACAGTGAAGAAGGTTATCTAAGACTACAATGGGATCTTGATCAACTAGGCCAAGTAATGACATGGAGTATAATTCAGGTAAATGCAAGGTGTTGCATTTTGGAAAGACAAACCAGGGCAGGGTTTACACAGTTAATGATAGGACCCTGGGGAGCATTATTGCACAGACAGACTTAAGGGAGAAGGTACGTGTTTCCTTGAAAGTGGCATCTTGGTAGGGTGGTGAAGAAGGTGTTTGGCATGCTTGCCTTCATCAGTCAGAGCATTGAGTACAGGAATTATGGCTGTACAAGACATTGGTAGGACTAAATTTGGAGCACTGCCAACAATTCTGATCGTCCTGCTATAGGAAGAATGTTATTAAACTGGAAATGGTATAAAAAAGACTTTCAAGAATGTTACCAAGACTGGAAGGTTTGAGTTATAAGGAGAGGCTTGATAGGCTGGGACTTTTTTCCCTGGAGCGTAAGAGGCTGAGGAGTGACCTTATAGAGGTTTATAAAATCATGAAGGGCATAGCTAAGGTGAATAACCAGGGTCTTTTCCCCAGAATAGGGTAGTAAGGTGGATAATCAAGATCTTTTCCCCAGGGTAGGCAAGTCCAAAACTAGAAGGCATAGGTTTAAGGTGAGAGGGGAAAGATTTTGAAAGGGACCTGAGGGACACATTTTCACACAGAGGGTAGTGTGGAAATGGAACAGACCAAATGGTAGAGGTCGGTACAATTACAGCATTTAAAAGACATTTGGTCAGGTAGCTGACTAAGAAAGTTTTAGAGACATATGGGCCAAACGCAGGCAAATGTGACTAGTTCAGTTTAGGAAACTTCGTTCGCATGGATGGGTTGGACTCAAGGCTTTGTTTCCATGCTAAATACCTTTGACTCTAACACTATAATTAACTGAATATAAATTCTCTAGCTGTCTAAATGAGATTTGAGCTCACGTTTCCAGATCATTAGATTGGGCCTCTTGAATGTACAACCATTGACAAAATGCCAGAATGTATGAGAGTTACTGATTCTAACATTGCCACGTTATAGCTGAAAATTGAGATAGATGGAGTTTGACTGTTTTTGCAGTTCTCACTCTGAACCACAATGTGTGGTGAGATGCCTGGAATCTGTTGCATATGCTAGGTAAGAGTAAAGGAGAATCTGCGGCAAAGTAGTGTCTGATCAATTGCAGACTGCTAGCTGCAAAGAATTTTGACAGCAGTGTGTACTGCTGATGTATTAAACCAGGTAGATGACAATGGACAATTAAAAATTGATGCAGAAATAAATACTGTATTACCAATCAAAGGTTAAGAAAATTCCAGATGTAAAAACCTTGTCTTACCATTGTGTGGTGTTGTGTATCAACAAAATGCTACAACTGCCCAAAGGCCAATGATTTCTTGATTTCTGTGGGGTGGTTATAAAATGAAATGTATGAATGTTTTATTGCAGTTTGAAAATTTCTAATTGAATACGGCAATAAAATACACAAACTTAATAAGTTTTATAAATAAATTCAATTTTAAGTGATTGAAGAGACACCTGCAAAAATAATCACGTTACATTCGTTAGGAACTCGGGGCAGAGTCTTATAGGGGCCTGAATGATATTGGCTAAGGCAACATTTGTGGGATGATTGCGTGAAAGTTGGGCGAGTCCTTTCCCAACATTGGAAACAACTAATCCCAATTTCAACAGAGGTTTGGACATCAAGATAGATTTGCGCCAGGGGTGGCAAGAGGCCTGTTAACAGGGATTATTTCTTGTTGTCAGCTTCATTAACTGCATACATAAACAAAATGCAGCTTCCTATCCTCCTCCTACATGCAGTGAGGAAACTTGGCATTGGCAATTCCCAACATGAAAGTCAGAGCAGGTAACCACTGATGTAAGCTCACCACTTGCTTTTCAGGCCACCATCTTGGACACTGAGCAACATATTCTCAGGGCACCAGACACATGCACCCTGTGTTCAAAGTCACTGACATCCAACACATGCCAGCTTTTTAGGTCCCTCACAGCACATCACCAGTCTACTAATAGGATCTTTCTGCACTTTAAGGCTGCACTTTTCACACACTGGCAGCTGCATTGCAATGCTCCTGAAAGGACATTCTTGCAAGGACAGGCACTGAGTTGACTGATTGGCCAGGCTGCTTCCCTGAGACGCTTGTTTGCTCGTCTATTGATCGCGTACCTTGTGTCTACATGGACACTCCCGCCTTCTATGCCTGCATTGCCCAGCCCAGTCAGAGCAACAAGACCCCCATTATTTCATACTTGCCTTGCTATTTAGTGCAGACACAATGCCAGGATGCATGGTCATAGATCATGGTCATGCATCGGTCAAATCAAGGGTGACAGCCTTCACTCAGTGGGTCCTAATACAGTAAATCAATGCCAATCACTGACATCAGTCCAGGGGCTTGGCTTTGACACACTGGGGGTGGTCAGGTAAGGTCAGAATCTACTCATCGGGGTGAGCATCCAAATGTCAGGAGCCCCAGAAACCATCTTGGCTCTTTCTTCCTTATTATATGCTGACATATCCTGGAATGAGATAAAGGTAAGGATTGAGTGAGATGAAAGTGGGTGGCACATCTGTTAGTACTGGTTGCGAGGGGAAATGTTGATCCAAGCAAGGACTTGCCTGCATAAAGGCTATGTAGGGTTAATCAGGTGGGCATTTGGGAAAGTTGAGAGCGAGAGAGGGAAGATGTTGCATATAGTAGTGAGAGTGGTAGACCGTGAGCTGTGTTGAGAGATGGGTGCTGTAACAGAGATAAGATGAGTGCCCAAGCAGAGAAGGTCATCGATCCCTCTTCCTTCACTGCTGGGTATTCATCCACATGGATCAGACTGTAAAGACCTGAGTGGCCAATGATTTCATTTAGGATGATGTTGGCACGGTCTGATGTTTTGGCCTTCTCTGCTAGTCCTGAGGGAAAAGGACATCCCTGCTCTGTGCCACCCCATCTATCAGGACCTCCTGTCGGTAAAACAGGCTACTAATTTCCCCTTAACTACCACATCTGAACAAATGTCAGGAGTTGTGCAGGGCAGCTCTGGACTGACCATGCTTGTCTGGGTGCAGAGTGGCCTTTTAAAAATGGCATGGGCACCAGGGGTACCAGTCTATTCCAGGATATCTGGGCAATGGCAAGTTCTATCTACAGTAAGTGATAGAATCATGGTAGCATCGGATATGAGGGCATGATAGGGGCATAATAGTTATTGAGGTGGATTTGACACAGTTACCTGAGAAAACCAGCTATGTGTCAGCTGTTGACAATATACATTTATATTTAGCGACTTAAACTATGACTACGAGGAACTGGAACTGTTTGGACATTCTGGATTAAAAAGAGTTTAACAAGGCTTTAAAGATACTTGTGATTTGTAGGAATCATTCAATAGTAATGTGAGCTGTGATTCATGTGATAATTAGTGAAAAGTCAAGTAATTTGAAAGGGGACAAGCAAAGCTTATAAGAGACAGAAGAAATAAAGTTTATTCCTTTAATTGCTGGACAAACATGATTTGAAAGAGATAGGGCCTATGTGCTGAAGATTGCATAGTAACAGTCTTCTGGATATGGTTTCCACTTTTTGAGAACCCCTGGGTGTGCCAACAGAAGATGAATGTTTCCAGACATCGCAGCAAGCGTGTCTCTCTCTCTTTTCCTGAAAACACTAAGAAGAAATCTTGCAGCAGGACAAGCCGCACAGATCTTTCAGGGAAGTACTTCTGGGAACCTGAAAAAGGTCCCATATATCAGTATCTCTGACTACCTCACAAACCTGTAAAGCTGAACTGTTACTTCTATTCAATGACCTGAATCTACCTGACTTTCCATCAGGCCAAACGTCTGGCCTGAAGATTTTCCATCACTCTGTGGTTGTCCAAGTATTGATCTCATCAACGGAAAATTCAGGGGACCATGAGGTCACTCTGTTTTAACCTATAAGTTTGGACCCTGGGCCCACAGGGGTGCTTTTACCCAATTTGTCTTTTTTCAAAAAAAAACATATCCACGCCTCAGAGCTACGCCATGTGAATGTATTGTTTAGGATTAAGGAGGTATAGTTTAATTCTGAAAAATAGCTTAGGTTTCAAGCTGATTTACCACTTGGTTATAGAATAAGTATGTATAATAAATATTATTTTTACTTTATTAAAGAATGGCGATGAAAGTCTCTTTTATTCTGGATCATAGTAATAAAGGGAAATGATTTGGCCATTTTTGAATCAAAACATTTACATCAATGGTATGGCTTGTGGGTTGTTCAATTACCAATGCATTCCTCTCGTCAGAATGATAACACAGCAGGCAGGCTCCACTCAAGCTTCATCTAATTTTTCGACTTCAAAATCTGACAACATAATCTTCCATTCCCTAATCCCTCAAATGTTTGTTTAGTTTCCCCTTAAATGCATTGATGCTGTTCAATCAATCACTTTGTGTGTTGGTAAGTTCCATATTCTCATCACTTTTTGGGTAAAAAAGTTTCTTCAGAATTTCTGATTGGATTTGCTGGTGACTGTTTTATATTGATGGCCTCAAGGTATTCTCTTCCCCATGAGTGGAAACATGTGACTGATATTTATTCTTATATATTTTTGGCTAAGCCTGAGCTATGTTAGATTTTTTGGAGAGATTTCTGCCATGAGTTGTAATACACTTTAACACTGTATGTTACCAAATGCACCTCATTAACTACCTACCTCACCTCCATAACATCCATCATATCTGATTCCAGCCCCACCTTACAGTGCAACATTTCCAGAGTAACTCACTACTCACCAAATATCCACCAAAAGACTGGGATTCCTTGCAACTGCACCATTTTTAAAAGTCAGCTGTGCACCAATCGAGTGCTGGCATTCCAAAGGTCCCCTGCTCATTGATGGTCAGAACCTTGGAGAAGGGGAAGACAGCACTGCAATTCTCTGACGGGGACCTAGAAGTCATGTTGGAGGGGATGTTGCAAAGGAGTGAGGTACTTTTCCTGGAGCACTGGCAGAGGAGGCCATAACATCAGACCTTAGCAGCCTAGTCTGAATTTGCTGACCAGGACAGTGTCGTCTCCATGTCTGCAGGCCAGCAGTGTCACAAGAGTGTCATTGCATCTTGTGACTTTGCAGCAGGGTAAATACCACATTCCTCTCTGCTACCTCACACTCACTCTGTCGCTGCTACTGCACCCACCTCTCATCAAGGCTCGTGCTCTACCACTCCCACAATTGCCAACACTTTGCCATCACTCACTCTCACCTGTCCCAATCTCCTACACTACTAACAATGCATGCCCTCTGAGCTGCTTACTCACTCGCTTGAAATATCTCACCACCTTTTGCCTAATGGACTAGGACTAACAGCCATGCCACCAACTTTCATCTTACTCAATCCCTCCCTTTCTCTCAATACAGGAGAAGACAGCTTATAGCAATGCAGAGAGAGCTCTTATGGTTGGAAGTATGCTGGACATTGTACTCCTTGTTCATTTGAGGAGAAAATCCTGGGCCACACAAGAGAAGATGTTATAGACAAAACCAGACTGTCTCATCATACTTTCAGAAGGTAGCCTAAACCCTAACTTTCTCTTATTTTAAAGTCAAATGTAAAGTGTCTATTCCAGATGCAATGTGATTGGCCAAACTGCTCAATGTTAAGTAAAACACAATTTATTCAAACACTGTAGTTAAAATACAACCAAAGAAAGAGGAATTTAGAATAACTCTCTTGGAAGCTTAACAGAATAATAGTAATTGTCACTAATTAGCTGTTCCAATAGGTAACATCTATCATCACATCCCTTGGCAAAAAGGCAAATTCGGACACATGTAGTTTTCCAATCCAGGAGGAAAAACATCAAGAGAAAATTCAGAGGGAGTAGCAGCCAGGAAGCATTCACTGAAGTTCTAACTCTGTTGAGACCCCTATAAGCTTCTGATGCTACTGAAAAACCGAAATCCTAATTGGTGAGAGCTGGCCACACCCAATCAGGCTGTTTAAAAAAAAATAAGGCTTCCCGAGCTGTTTACTCAAGTGTTGTTAATTAGCCAGCTTGAGACCTTACTTACAAACTCTCTTCAGAAAAAGAAACCAGGACAAAAAAACCTCTTAAAATGACAGCATCATCACAAAGACCAGAACTGCACTGCAGGGATACTGAGACATCCATATCCCACCAACTGCCAAAGCACCTCTTCTTCATTCCATTGCAACTCTCACATTAAATTCACAGTCAGTGTCATTCATCACACACCATTTCTAACTTCTAGTCACAACTCCTCTCTCTTTCATCTTGCAGATAATGCTCGCACATTTACCACGCCCATGGTGAAATGGGGGTTTCCCAGAAGTGCTCCTTGACCTCTGAGGATGACAGTAGCAAAACTTCAGAGGAAGCATCAGCCCCCTCCACCAGCTCAGATACTGACACTTCTTTGGGAACATTAGGTTTAGAAAGTATGGGAACACAATCTGATGGGGACTTCACTGCAACAACTCCCCAGTTGGCTGAGTAAGAAATGCCCCCAAGCACATAGAGCACTGACAGAGACCAGGCACATGCTCAGCTCCTGGAATGACTCCGTGGTATCAGTAACGATGGAGTTTATCCACCAGCACAGGGAGAAACAAGGCCGGCAGACAGGTATGTGGGATGCAATGGTTCTCATTGCCCAGAAGCTGTAGTAGTGTAGCAAATCTGCCTCCATGGACAGGTTGGCAGCTGCCTGGAAAATCAGGTCCAGTGCCCTCAGGGTCAGCTGAAGAGGCACATTCTTGTGGACTGCATTGTTCCAGCCACTGTTCTTCAGGCCAGAAGGCAGGCAACAGGGGAACAAGGAACTGGGATTGCACTCCAGCTGCCCCTTCCTTAGGGGGTGGCTTGGTGCTCCGTGGTTAGCACTGCTGACTCACAGGACCAGGGACCCAGGTTCAATTCCACCCTCAAGCGACTGTCTGTGTGGAGTTTGCACATTCTCCCCGTGTCTGCGTGGGTTTCCTCCGGGTACTCCGGTTTCCTCCCACAGTCCAAAGATGTGCAGGTTAGGTGGATTGGCTAAGCTAGATTGCCCATAGTGTTCAGGGGTCTGTAGATTAGGTGGGTTATAGGGGGATGGGTCTGGGTGGGATGCTCCAAGGGTTGGTGTGGACTTGTTGGGCCGAAGGGCCTGTTTCCACACTGTAGGGATTCTTGAGGAGACAGGGTAGAGTCAAAAGGCACTGAGCCTGAAGAGGAACCATATCTTAATCCCTCAGAACACTCCAGGGGTGGCTGAGCCCTCCACCTCTATCTTGCCTACCCCCTTCAACCCTTGGAAGTCTATGTTAAGGAGAGTAAAATTGCATTCAGCAAGGAGATCCTCGGCAAGTCTGGCTCATCAAGGCACAAGTGGCCCCAGGGTCACCCAACCAAATCTCCAGCAACTACAATGTCCACTGCCAACAGTGGAACCAAACCAGTTGTGGAACCAGAGAGTACACTAAGACATCGTGGAAAGAAGAGGAAGAAACATCTAGTCAACCTGTGGAATTTTTTACCGTTGAGGTCCATCAAGGCTGCGTCTTTAAGTATATTCAAGGCTAATAAAGACAAATTTTTAATCAGTAAAGGAATCAAGGTTTATGGAAATAAGTCAGGAAAGTGGAGTTGAGTATTATCAGTTGAGCTATGATCTCACTGAATGGCAGAGCAGACTGATGGGCCAAATGGACTACTTCTACTCCTGCATCTTATGGTCTTAAATCTCTCTCTACCTGTGTCTTCATATTTCTTTTATGATATGGTGACCAGAACTGCATGCAGTTCTCTTAAATGTAATCATACAGATCTGACATAACTTCCCCACTATTCAATTCCAGCCCTCTAGGAATAAAGCATGTTTTTAAAAATGGCCTTGCTAACTTGTAATGCAACTTTTAGTGATCGATATGTTTGTACTCCAAAATCCTCTGTTCATCTATTGCATATAGATTACATCTTTGAAGTAATAAGCCCCTCTCTACTCTTCCAACCAAAATGTACTACCTCACGTTAATTTGTTTTGAACTACAATCACCAATGACTTTCCCATTATGCAAGTTTGTTAATGTCCTGAAACTTGTTGCAGTCCTCCTTGGTATTGATTGTCCAAGCACCATCTCCCTCTCCCCTCATCTGTTCCCTCTCCCAACTCTGTTACCTCCTCAAAAATTATAATAACATTGGATGAACAAGTGTTTCCCTTTTGAAATCCACGCTAAGTATTCATTATTCTATTTTTGTCTATTGATGTTCTTCTATTCCATCCTTTATTAGAGATTCCATTATTTTTCCGATTGCCAATTTTAAAAATGACTTGTATATAATTCCCTGGACATGGCTTTTCACCTGCTTAAGTATAGAAATTACATTAGTCATCCAAATGCCCTGCACCTTTTTCTAATTAATTATTAAATATCTTCACTGTTTCTCCCCCAGATTCTATTAAAATTTGTGGATTCAATCAATCCTGACCAGTTTTTTATCCTCTTTCAGATTGATTAGTTTATTTGAAACATGCCTTTTCAGTTTTAAGTGCACTTATCCATTGTTCACCAATGTGACGTCTAACGGATCTATTTACCTGGTAAATACCATTACAGACTAATAGCTTCTGAAAAGGTATTTGAATTTTCAGTGACTAAGTGGAAGATTCTCAATTAGACTTTAAATTTTAATGTTTTTGCTGTAACAAACAAACTAAAACCAGCATTGTCTAAACACTATTCAGTAGGCAATTTATAAACTACAGAGGCAAATTTCACTTCTAACACAACCAAACACTTCATACCTTGTTTTTTTTACGCTGTCCCTTTAGTAAATATTTTATTCATCAGAAACAAATATCAAGTTATTTTTCACCACCAATAACTTACTTTTCCTTTCCCAACTAGGTAATTTATAATTCTGAACTGACTTTCACATTGAGCATTGTACCAGTGATTCTTTCCCTCCAGTCCAAACTACGTGAGCTCAGTTCCTTTATATCTTCATGGAATGGTCTCTTAAATTTGTGCTGAAAATCCCAACTGTGTTCTACATGGTGAACAATACCATCCAAACTTTCTCTGCTTCAGGTGTAGAACCAGCTGCCTCTCTCTTCTTCTGAAATTCTTGCAGATTCACGTGTGTCTGTGAGGGTCATGATATCTTATAAAACCCACAGCCCACTATTACTATAGATTTCTATTTTATATTTTCCCTCTCCATGTTCATTTGCACAGCAATGTGAACCACTTGGGTCCTCAATGCAGGTAGAAATGCTAATTAATAATCTTCGATATAGCCCATACCCCCACCTCCACTCTAACTTGCTATTAAACAGACAGTTTACATCTTACAGTTTCTTCCCAGGAGGTCAACCTGGGCTTCCATTGTCTCTACTGTAACTAAATCACCCAGACTTGTTATAAGGCAGATTTCAGAGTAGGTCACATGACTCCTTTTACAACTACATTTTACTTTAAATTAAAGAGACAGCCGTTAAACATAGCAGTCGTCACAGAAATACTAATCCAAAATAATTATTTAATATTTCTGGCACTTCTTAATCATTACCTGTGAACAAAGTTGATCACCAACAGAACAAATTGCCAAGTGGATGTTAGTAAACAGGCAGATATGAACACAGTCAAGTAGATTTATGAATTCTTCTATGCCTATACAGTATCCCCCGCCACCATTCCCACGCCAC